GACAGGGGAATCCTTTCAATGTATCCCATTAAAATAAAAACGGCAAACGGTAACCACTGGCAGATCCCCTATCCTGCATCCCAAGTCCCCCGCCCCCTTCAAAAAGTGTCGTTTCCTTTTAATTTAACCGGAGAACAGTGAAGGAGACTACTACAAATTAGGCAACAGAAAGGAAGCAAAGAAAAAGGGATTAGAAAAAAAGCATCCAAGCGTCAAGCGAGGGGGTTCTCCCTCACCCCATCCCGCCCCGTCACAATCCTTCTCACTTGCAACGGCCGACCGGCCGGTCGGTATAAGTCCCTCCCATTATTTTGAACCCCCAAAATGTTGTTTTTGCTGCAGTACTTATCATCATTCAACAGCAACCCTGCAAAGTGGATGCGGATGGGTGCGGACGGTACAGTCATGTGGTATGATGCTTCCCTTTTAAGAATCTTTTCTGTTTGAAAGCCAGTTTCTTCTGAATGGCTCCGTTTGGTTTGTTGAATTTGTTGTCTGTTCAATTGATCCTTCATATAAATTCTCTGAAATATCCATTGGTCCCATGTATTATGTTGATGTCAAATTCAAATTTTGGCTTACTTAAGCAAGCCAAAGTTTCTCCGGGAAATACCCCGATATCGTCTCAACAGACTGAGGCAAAAAAAGCACACGGATCGCAATCATTGCAACGTTCTCCTTTGATATTAAACGTAGATAAAATCCAATATTTGGTTTTGCACTTCACCGACGTATGTTTATAAACACTGTATAGTCCGCGTTGTCTTGAGTGACTTTAAGAAAAATAATTACTCGCGTGGGTCTCGAACCAACGACCTCCTGCTTACTAGCGCAGACGTCTTACTCGACCACCGAGCTTGTTCGAACCTGATACAACAGCGATACCGCAACCAAGCTATTAAGTCGCCGATAACAACATCGTTGGCTACCTGCAACACATGGGGAATGGCCACTGTTTTATAGGTACAACATTAGGAACTTAATCATAAATTGAAATCATCTACAACTACTCACCTATAGAACTACTGAAAGTAAACCACTTACCAATTGACAATTGAGAGATGCTATCAGTTTTGTTGTTCGTTCATCAGGGTGCGGGACAAGAAGTTGTTAATAAGCGCTCTCTCCACCAACCGCATCTACTACCTGGATGATGAAGAGGAAAGAGACAGGCTTGATTACAAGGTAAGAGCACAGAATCGCTTCAAAATAGATTTATCTCAGTGGGCACTTTTTTTATCAGACTGAGCTAATTGTACAAGCCGTAAATATCTTGGGAGAAGTTTGCGGGACCAACTCTTAAAGTAACTGTCTCTTAAAGCTCGCATATGGTTCTGAGAGCACCCAGAGATGCTAAATCAACGTTTCGATCAGTATGCATGCACTGACATTCGGTATCAAGACATTTGAAAAATGTCGCGTGGGCCTTGAAACAACCCCAACTCTTTCTTCTCAGAACCGTTTCTCTTTTAGAGACAGTCATTCACATCGTGTATCCACAAACATCGCGGAAGGTGTACTCTTCAGCATGCAAAGCCCCGATATCTTGTTCTGGTTGCTGTTTTGGCTGTTTTAGAGTATATGGTCTTTAAATGGTATGCTATCTGCTGATGTAAGGTCTTTATGATATTGTTGTCATCAAATTCGGGCAGAACTGGTCCATTCCCCTGGGTCGGCGGTTTCGATCACTGAAACTCTGGTTCGTCATCAGGATGCACGGCGTAGAGGGTCTGCAATCAGCGATACGATCGGTAGGTCTTCACCAACATCAACATTATCTTGCCACCCGTTTACACCCATTACTCTCACTTCTCGCTCCTCCATAGAATACTTTCACATGCTCCACTGGATTTGCTGCCTCCTCTCATCCATGCGTTCGAAGGCCTGGTAGTACTCTTCAAGTTTCTTTCCTCGCACTGCCGCCTGTGGACCTCCTTACCAAGTTCTTGCTTCCTTCTTCTTGCAACTTATCACAGTTCAACAAAAATATCCACAGGTACCTCACATTTTCCTATCTTGTTTATGGACCCCCATTTTGATTCACCCTTTGCTTTGTGGTTGGCGAGTACCAAAAGTCTATGACGAGCTCTATTTTTCGCATGATCGCATTTTGTGATTTTTTGATTCTGGGTGTTGGGTATACAGCTCATCAACTTCATGTATTTCGTATAATTATGATTATTTTGGATGACAGCACGTGGCCTTGGCCAAGATGTTTGAATCTTGGGTGCGTGCGGACGACAGGTTCGAGGTTGTCGGCACCGTGGAGTTCGGCCTCGTGTGCTTCAGGCTCAAGGTACGAGGATGATTCCAACATGATTTTAAATTATATAAGAATCTGTTCTTTCGGACTTCAATAAAAAATATATTCATATCAAGGATAAGTCCGCACTGACATGTATGCAAGCCAGTCATTAACTGGATAGGGGACTGTATGTGCATCTGGGTAACCTTGACATCCTTCGCTGTTTCCTTTGATTCCACTCAAATCCGCATTGACTATCCACAGGGCGAGAACACTTTGACAGAAGTCCTGCTGCAACAGATCAACGAGTCTGGCAAGGCCCACATGGTTCCCGCCTCCCTCAAAGGGAAATACGTCATCCGTTTCACCCCCGCAAACTGGTACTACTCTGAGGAGATCACCAAGAAAACCTGGGACATCATCACGGGCTTCGCTCAGGTGGTGCTTCACGAAAGCCGGGGAGACAGGCAGGGATTGCAGGTGCGAGAGTCGGTAGACTCCGGGGAAGTCTTAGGAAGAGAGGAGGGTGTCCCGGAGAATTCTTAACGTCCATGAGAATACAAATCTCTTTACATTCCCTCAGCCAACAAGGACAGGCAGATCAGCATAAAATTATGTAAATTATAAAAAAATTAAGTGTCCTATTAAAAAAACGATCATTGCATCTATTTTCGAGTTTTGTCTTTATATACCGGTTCATCTTTCTGGCCGTGTTTAACACGAATATCTGGTATCGTGACAATCAAATTTGAACACGATGTGTATTCAGTGTTTCTGATTACTTTTCGTAACAGCTCTTTAATTAAAATTCAATTTGTTACAATCACTCTTTTTATGTTTTTTGACAATTTCAATGGTTTTATGTATCAGTGTTGTTCTCAAGTACATTTCCATGAGTACGTGTACGAATACTTTATCATGTGTACGAGAGCCATGAGTACGAGTATACGAGTACGAATGCAAGGCATTTTTTTTCCATGAGTACGAGTACGAGTACGAGTACTACAAAACTGATGTATATCATAACCAGGCGCGGTTCTACGGGGGGCTAGGGGGGGGGGCTTTAGCCCCCCAAAAATTTTGTCTAGCCCCCCAAAAATAAATGCCGTAAAAAGAAATTGCATTAGCAAAAAGAAGGATTGTGATGTACATGCGAACCGTCTCCCCCTAAAGAAATAGTCGTGACAAGGGTACATTTGTAGTTAATATAGTGTGAATGATTTTAGGATTTTATTGGCGCTCCCCATTGAAAATATGGCATGAGACCCCCCCCCCCCCCCCCCCCCCCCCCCCCACACACACACACACACGCAGACACACAGACACACACACACACCTATTGATTTTCGGAGGCCTAAGTGTCTGGAAAAAATAACCGGTCAACATTTCAGCACGCCTCCCTGAAAAAAATTCTGGATCCACCGTGCTAGCCCCCCCAAAATATTGGTTCTAGAACCGCGCCTGATCATAACATTTAAATCATGAAATTACTTAAGTGATCAAATATTTTCAGTTCATTGTATTTTTTTGTATGTTTTTTGAGCTCCGTTGCCGCGGTTGCTTTATGAAACTACACAAATACTGCTACTTCTACTTCTTTAATTAAACCTTTACTGTAGCGATTAACCTTGGGTTATCAGTGAATTAAGTTATCTCTCTGTTATGTAAATGATAGATAACGCAAGAAGATTTATATCAGTATTTTTACTTTCGTTTTCCCCTATTATTATTAATATTAGTATTAAGGGAATAATGTGTGCTTGGCCGGTATTAAACACTATGTTTAAGACCGGTTGGAGTCTGAATGCTGATAATTACCAACATCAATCATCAACATCCAGACTCCAGCCGATTTTAAACAGAGTGGTTAAAACCGGCCAAGCACATTTTATTCTCATTCATGAATACCTTTCCGTTAATAAAAATACTAACTTTTTGATCCAAAAGTAAAACTTTAAGTAAACATTATAAAATTTCCAACGATTTTGTTCAACAAGTTTACTTCATGTTTTTCGGGACACCCCTCTAGCTATACTTATGGTATTTCTCTCGAGAGAGTCGTCGTTTACAACTCCTTATGGAGATTTGACGCGCGCTTCGTGCGTAGATCACAGTCTGCCGCAGAACGCAGCTGTGCCGGTGTATTGTGAATTAAGGACTATGAAATACTGACTCACTGGTAGTACTGCGCATGCCTACGTAAGGATTGTGAACGTTCAACCAATAAAACGGTGAAAGGCAACGGATTTCATACAAGTCCAAATTTCACGTGACACTGGGAAGTGTCAGAGCAGCCAGCCGGTCTTTATATTAAACAAAGCGAGACGTCATTACGTCTGAGGTCTTACATGTGCACATGAGGTATGCCTATTCTGATTTTTTTCAAATCACCGCCATTTTTCCACATCTAGGGTGGCTCTTTAGGCTGGCTAAACAATGACTGTTGTATACCTTGAGAAAAGTTTTATCGTAGGTCCGGACCTCCTCCAAAATCTGAAACGGATTGAGATAGATTCATGTGTGGCCCTTCACTCGTTTCACAGTTTTAGGATTTCTAAAGCACGAGAAAAGGGCTCCTCGACCCAAACTGTGATGGTCTACTGAGGGCGCGCCTTGGTATCTGTGGTATGCAACTGCTGCACGTACGCCCCACGACCTAATGTGCTACCACCTCACCGAACATATGTAGACCAATACATGTACATTAAATACTTGTATTTTTCCACCAAAACGAGACAACTTACTAACTTGCAACATGAATGAGGATAAGTTTCGACGTGCTGCCGGCGAGGTGGCTGACTTTATCGTGGACTATCTGAAGGGCGTCAAGGACCGTCCCGTGCTACCCTCCGTGGAGCCAGGCTACCTGCACAAACTGTTACCTGCGAACGCGCCCCAGCAACCCGAGGCGTGGCAGGACATCATGACGGATATACAAGACAAGATCCTGCCGGGGGTGAGTAGGTCGGTATTAAGGAATACTGTAAACCTCTTACAAGGGGTTGGTATTAACAAAAACTTACTGGTCTCCCGAAATCTCCGCTATACTATACAGAAAAAAGGGTGTGGTTAGGTGTACTGCTTATCCAATAGGACTGAGGACTTGGGACAATGGGGATCGAGTGTGTAGTAACAATGGGCCCGACGCTGCCCGAGGACCTGGGCACAAGTCCTCGGGAGAATTTTTTTTGTACAACCCATATGGCAGTTGTCCAGAAAAAGTTAGTACAAACAAAAGGGAACGAAAGAAGGAAAGGGGCAGGTCCTCGTGAGTATAGTAAAACACGACTGTGTGTGTGCATGGGCGGTGTATTGCAGCAATCTGTTACACGGTACCCTCTGGAGACATATGCACAATAGGGAACCAAAAATTGTATACGTCTCCACATGGCAATTTCTATAGGTGAATACGTCTCAACAAGGTTATCACGAGATAGATATATGGATTTTACTCAAAAACTAGGAATTTCCAAGGTGTGTTGATTCGTCGCAAATTGAAGTATTTTATGTAAAGGATATTAAGTCCAAATTTCAGCCCAGGAAATTAATTGTGGTTCAAATAGGAGCATTTTGTAAGTACACCTTCAAACTCGAAAACTTATTAGAACACGAGAACAAAGAAATGACTCCACAAGGATACACATTTCAGTTTGTGTGAGTTTGAAAGTACAGTTTCAAAATGCTCTTATTTTAACCAGAATTAATTTCCTTGGCTGAAATTCGGTCTAAATATCCCTTATACCATTTGCGACACATCAACATACCTTGGAAATGTCTAGTTTTTGAGTAAAATCCATATATCTATTTCGTGAAAACCTTGTGGAGACGTATTCATCTATAAAAATTGCCCTGTGGAGACGTATACAATCTTTTGTTCCCTATTTTGTGCATGTCTCCAGAGGCCACGGTGTATCAGATCGAACATTTTAGTACACGAGAACATAGAAATGTCTCCACAAGGATACAAATTTGAGTGTGGGTGTGCAGTCTGTGTGTTTGCGGTTTATTTAGCTCCATGGTCTGAACAACTCGTCAACGTACATACATGCCAACACATACAGTAAAATACATAGGCAATCAATGGCAATACAATACGCGGGGCACTGCTCACTGCTGATCCGCAGCATATGTCGGCACGCATTTACGATGATGAGACCTTACTAATTGAATAATGTAATTATGTATGAAAGACGTGTAATTCTTTGAGCGTCTGTTATAATTATAATGTATATATCTTTTTTGGCATGTCACAGCCGTGTCGCTTGTAATTATGCTTTAAACGAGAAGTGTATATCATTCTGATTGAGTCGTTTTAGAATGCTCGCTGGAGTTGCACATCTGAGTGCATAGAATAAAAAAAAAGATCAATTGTTTTCCAATTGTATATTTCAATTTCCTTCAGTTTTTCTACTATTATGCCAAGTAAATAATTAGTAAATTAATTTATTGACCACTGTTTTAAATTATAGCTAGAATTGTTGTTTATTTCATAAGTTATTCACAAACGGGACCAGGCCTCTGTATAAGCTTAGGCTTTTTTCCTGGTTCCCCCATCTGTCACAATTCATGTTTAATTGATCAAAGTGTTGTACATGTATTAGCATTCTATTAAGTTAACTTATTGTTGTAGTAAATAAACTGTTGCATTTGCATTATATTAATTTGTGACAAATGGAAAAATAAAACAATACAATACAATACAAAAAACAATTGTTGGTAAGCCATTAGCCGAGAATTTTTTTTTAACAAACAATATACGTTAATGACTTGGTGTTCAATTATTTCAGAATTAAATATAACTCGAGTCCAGACAACATGTTAAAAAAAATATACGTTGATGACTCGCTTTTCAATTATTACATATTAAATACAACTCAAATCAAAACAGCAAACAGGGACCTATGCAGGATTTTTTGCAGAGGAGGGGGGGGGGGTTTCATCAGCAAAGACATCTAAAAATGTAGACAGTTTTTTTTTCGACGGACACAAATTCGTCAAATTCGACGATTATTAACACTAGATTACAGAATGGTGTACAACTAACCGTTATCTAAGCTGCCTCTGTCTCTATATTGAACAGGCGGACATTATACCAGTATAATTTTTTTTTGGGGGGGGGGTGTCAGAGCGGTGGGGGTGTTTCGTATTATTTGCTAGGCATTTGTATGGGATTTTTTTCTTTGGACAGAGCTGGTGGGGGGGGTTACCCCCCCCCCTCCCGTATCCGCGCCTGAGCATGTTCTCAATAATGTTGATGACTTGGTGTTCAAATTATTTCAGAATTAAATATAACTCGAGTCCAGACAACATAATAAAAACACTATACGTTGATGACTAGGTTTTGAATTACTACATAAAGAAATTATTAAATATAACTCAAATCAAGAGATTTAAAGAGATGTTTAAAATTAAATCCGCAAAGTGTCCCTTGATCAACTGACAATAATAAATATTGATGACTTGGTGTTTCAATTACTACAGAATTAAATATAATTTAAATCAAGACAGCATGTTACAAAAAAAAACAAGAAAAACGCATTTTAAGGGCATTTACTTTGCCCACTTTGAGAAATTTCATTTATTGATAAACGTTGGACGGGAATTATTTCCAATGTTTTAAATCAAACACAAATTTCTCATTGCACTGAGCTTTATGTTCAACAGTACAATATATACGGAATTGGCAACACCAACTATATCTATATTACTGTTATTAGGCCTATGCGTTTGACATTGTATCGTCCGTAGGCTACAATTCTGGCCAAATCTCGCTGGGCCCCAAAACCCCGGCCCCCTGTCAATGTTGTTTCTCATTGCGCGGTGTGTGATCCATCAGCTGGAGAGAACAACATTGACCGGGCGATCGCGAGCGGGGGAGTGGGTGACCGTGGCAGGCTCAGGAAGTGTCCCAACCATTTTGGCCGGGATTGTAGGTCTACCTCGTGTACATGTAGGCAACACGTACATAATTATAGGCCTGAAATTTGCTCGTACATAAAAGCTATCACAGCTTCTTAATTATCTGGGAAAAACGAAAATTGATTTCTTACCCAAATGTACCTCTCAAGTACCTCTGAACGTAACCCCCATTTGTACTTATATTATCAACTCGTTGTAATTTCTCATTGTATTTTTGTTGTACAAATGGAAATAAACAAACAACAAACAAACAAGGTCCGACAGCCCCAATTCTCTCAACAAATCTTCCGCCACCGGACTTATTTCACGAGCTAAAATTGCTGAAATAGGGCCGGCCTGCCCATGACATTCCCAACATTTTTGGGGAAAAAAGTATTTTGCTCAACATTTTAGTAAGTTTATCAAACCATCAAATAGATTGCCCAAATCATAGAAATTAGGATTTGTCCAATGTTAGTCAACATGCTATTTTACCCAACTGAACATTGTATCCATTTGTTGCCGTGAAATTGCCCAACAAATGCCGAAATGAAGTTGCCCAGCTTTCGTTTTATTACCCAGCATTTTTGCAGAGTAGGTGCCGCGCAAAAAGCAGCATCCGGCTAGTTTAATACATATTTTCAAATAAAAAAAGAAGAAGAAAATATTATTGAAAGTCCGTTTGCCTTCTTAGCAGCAGAAAGATGCATGAAGAAAATTCATGGGCATTTTAACAGCCTACCATCCACCAATTTATTTAATCAACTGAAATCCTATCATATATATGACTTGAAACTTTGCATGGCGGATGAGATAAAATAGAGGAAATTATCGGGTAACACCATGTGGAAAGAAATCTCTTCTTGGAAGAAGTGTGGTTCTGAAAAGAGCCGGTTGGTTGAGTGTAGAACTCGACGTTTCGGACAGTGTGCTCTGTCCGTCCTTACCCTCCTGAGGACGGACAGAGCACACTGTCCGAAACGTCGAGTTATACACTCAACCAACCGGTTCTTTTTCAGAACCACACTTCTTTCAAGAAGGGATTCTTTCCACGTGGTGTTACCCGATAATGTCCTCTATTTTGAAATCCTATCAATTAATGTTACCCACCTGAATTAACCCACGCAGTTGGGGGATGGCGTACAACTCTACTGGCTATGCTGTACACCTCAACTAATTAATAGGCAAAAGGAACTTTGTTTTTTTCTTGCTCATACCTTGACAGATGACCCACTGGCAGCATCCTCATTTCCACGCCTACTTCCCGACCGGGAGCTCTTACCCCTCGATGCTGGGCGAGTTTCTATCTGCCGGCTTGGGCTGCGTCAGTTTCACCTGGGTGGGGAAATATTTTTCTTTCAATCAAAATCAGATTTATGTAAAAAAAAAAAAATAATCAAGGTTACTGGTGTGTTTTATCGTTACCTATGGCTGTTTGAGATGTAGCTTTGGTTCTTCCTATGGCTCCACAGGGTGAGTCAAAAAAAGCGAAACCCAAATGTCGGGACCATTGTTTTAGTGAAGTTCTGCATGTAGCACTTTCAAAATCTGGGGTATGAAAGCCCAATTCATAAGGTTTTTTTTAGAACTAGAATCAATCCAATCACTCATGTACTTTTCAAGTTCCAGAATTTTGAACAAAACCACCGTTTTAAAGTTCTGTCCAAGGATCACAAAAAGGTAAGTGTTCTTTCAGCAAAACGAAAACAAATCACATGCGTGGGAATTGTTTTCATTTTGCTGAAAGAACGCACACCTTTTCTGTGATTCGTGGACAGAACTTTAAGACGGTGGTTGTGTTTGAAATTCCATAACTTGAAAAGTACGTGAGTGATTTGAATGAGTCTTGTACTAAAAGAAAGCTTTTGAATTGGGCTTTCATATCCAAGATTTTAAAAGTGGTACAGAACTTCACTAAAACAATAGTCCCAAAATTGGGGGTTCGGATTTTTTCTCACCCTGTATAGTACATGTAGTTTGGGAGTCATATTCTTTTAAAAATAAATTTTCCACCAATTTGCCCAAATGTTTAAACACGACCGAGGATTTAATTGGTGTCTTTAATAGCGTCTTAAAGCGTTCAGTTTGTTTTCTTTTTTTGACTCGCCACTTCAGCTCACCGGCCCAGCTATAACGGAACTGGAGACGGTCATGATTGACTGGTTGGGGCGCATGATGGGTCTACCCAAGGAACTGCTGCCGTACACCGAGGGGGGTAAAGGGGGAGGGGTCATCCAGGTAAGGGTGGGCACGCGTGGTCACACGATTAAGGATGCCAAGAATGAGACAACGAGTGACGGCAGATTGGTACTAGAGAGAATAATTTGGGTAAAACTATGGAAATTATGGTAGGAAACAAAAAGCTAGAACTGTATTGAATGCATTGACACTATTTCTCACAGATACCAGGTGTTCCATGGGCTGTGGCTGAATTAATTTGCTTCGGCTCGCAATGCCTAGTGAAACACAAACACGTATGTGAGAAGGACTGAATTGGTACTAGAGAGAATAATTTGGGCAATAAACATGGAAATTATGGTAGGAAACAAACAGCTGGAACTGTATTGAATGCATTGACACTATTTCTCACAGATACCATGTGTTCCATTATGGGCTGTGGCCTAATTAATTGCTTTGGCTCGCAATGCTAGTGAAACACAAACACGTCTGGGGGAAGGACTGCAGTTGCATGGCCGCATGTGTGATTGCAAGCCCGATAGCCAAGTAACTCTGACGCGGTCGTTGTATTGTTTTTCTTTGTGCTATAGACTTCATCCAGTGAGTGTGTCCTCGTGTGCATGCTTGCAGCCAGAAACAAAACCATCACAGCCTTGAAGGAGACACAACCAGACGTGGAGGACTGCATCTTGGTGTCCAAACTCGTGGCATATTTCTCAGAAGAGGTACACAAAGCTCGTTCCCCAAAAGATGACCAGATATTGAAGTTGAAGTTATGGGTGTGTAAGCTTGTATAAGCACACGCGTTGGCGCTGGCCCTGTACTGCAAAAATCATGTTTCCATTTTGAAAGTTTCAGTGCGCATATCTCGAAGTTTTCAAATCAAACGGCACAAAAAAACTTTTTCTTCTTACCGTAGCCTGTTGAAGTTTCAGCAGTGGATATTACACAATTCGAGAAAACGGTGGAAAAACCATGCACAACCTTTTGTTCACCAAACACGATTTCGTCTAGAAACTCTTTATTTCTAACGATCATTCAATAACGACTGGTCGTTGGAAATCGCCTACATTTCTTGATTTCTATTATAGAATGCCAGCAACCTAGACGGAATAATTTCACGGGGTGTTTAGCCAGTACGATCTTTATTTCAAGTAAGCGTTTTGACGACATATAGGCATATATATAGGCTTTTGGTATAAATGCCAATTATCCTTTATGCTTTTAAATTCACCTCATTATTTACCTATATATAAACCAGTCGGGGAAACATGTCAACGTTCTGTTTACTGTGAGCTCCCAAGATTAGACCGTACGGTCGTTGCAGGAATTGTTCACGGGTTACCTCAGGCAATTCTGCAAACCAATTCTTCTTTCTCAGGCTCATTCTGCAGTGGAGAAGGCGGCCCGGATTTGCCTCGTGAAGACACGTGTTTTGTCGACCGACGAAAAGTTTTCTCTGCGTGCCGAGACGCTGCGTGAAGCTGTGGAGGTAATGCGCCTATCAATTGCTTCCCCCTACCCCTTCCCCTCCCCCGGGCTGCCCCACCCAAGACGTGGAGAATGTCACTTGTGACAAAATCCCCATACCCTCGGGCAGAATTTAAGTGACAATCCCCGACCATGCGCCGACATACATGGGGCGCACTAGTGATTGCCTTTTCCATGTAGTACGTCATGTAATTTGAGTGACAAAAATCCCCACCCTGGGGCATGAAAAACGTGACCAAATCCCGACATTGGACCTGGGGTGGGGAGTGAGGAAACGTTTGATAGGCCTTGCATAATCACCAGGGCAGTGCGAATTATTAACACGGAACTCATGCATGTTTAATATCGTAGCAGTGGATGGTGGAACTCCTCAAGCATGCAATGGTGGATGCACAGAGGGTGGGGGTCTGAACACCCCTGGCCGCTAAAAATGGGAAAATAATGCCAAAAAAATTACATGTCTGACCCCCCCCCCCCCCCAATTGACAGCTAAACCCCTCCTATCCAGCCAAACATGCAGTATGGACCCCTGAAGCGCTGTACTTACCCCAGACATGACATCCTGCCTATGGGCCATTTGCGGGGTATGCATGTAATTTCAATAGGCTGCAGTCTCTGATATTATTTTGTATATTTTCAAAGTGTAATTCACACACACAAATCGAATAATCAGTTTTATTAACAGAGACTATTACGTGTTATTTTACATCATTCACTGTCTGTCATTTTCTTTCATTTATCGTACAGAAGGATATAGCCAGCGGATTGATTCCATTCTTTGTAAGTTAAGTATCATTCCGTTTTTCTGCAAATCAGTCCAACGTTTCCACAACACCCAAACCTATTTAGAAAAAAATTACTATCATGAGCAAGAAAGAACAACTAAATTATGCGATGTTACGAGGTTCACTGTAAATAACGTCCACGTGGGGGAGCCAAAAGAAAAGTTTTAATAGCACCCTTTTCCTAAAAGGTAAAAAAAAAGAATAAGCATCCCAAAAGGTCATGGTTCCCTGATTAGTGTCTTGACAAAGAAAAGGAATTGGTACATGAAAATTTTGAAATGTTACATTCCTTTCTGATTTAATTTAATATTACTGAGCCTCCTAGACCACAAACCTTTGGTTTTCTTTTCGATTGTGTCAAATCCCCCCAAAAAATCTTTTGGAAGGAGAGCTAGGACAGGAATTCCATTTCAGGAAAGGCCTGTGACGTTTGTTTTTGCTACCAGTAAAGGAAGACTTCACTGAAACCCCATGATTGTAGTAATAATAATAATAATAACAACAACAACAACAACAACAACAACAACAACAACAACAACAACAACAACAACAACAGCAGCAGCAGCAGCAGCAGCAGCAGCAGCAGCAGCAGCAACAACAACAACAGCAACAACAGCAACAGCAGCAACAGCAGCAACAACAGCAACAACAGCAACAATAGCAACAACAGCAACAACAATAATAATTACCCTGGATTGGACATTTGGGAGACATCCCCATAGACTTGTGCACAAAATGTTTCAAACTGAAATGTGCCCTAACCCAATATTCCCTTGTCCTTTTTCCACGAATTTCGGTATGTTTACTAATTAGACCACGAGCAACAAAAATAATCTAATTGCGACAAAAAAAATTGCCTCTAAAGGGTAGCTGTGACATTAGGCCTAATTACCGATGTCTCCCATTGTGCGAAGATATTACGACAACGTGTCTCCTTAATGGTACCATTACACGTATAATCTTATATAGCGCCAAAACCTTCAAAATGACGTTACAAGATTGTAACTAATACATTAATCTCAGGCGTGTGCAACCCTCGGGACAGTAGGCAGTTCAGCAGTTGACGATATTGGCGGGATCGGACGAGTCTGCGCAGAGAAGGACCTATGGCTTCACGTAGACGGCGCCTACGGTGGTAACGCACTCATCTGCCCGGAGTACAGATATCTACTCAACGGATTCCAGGTGAGACTTAAGCGACCTTTTTTAAATGTAAAAATAAGGTGATTTCTTTCGGTGTGTCAATAGCAAAGGTAAAAGTAACAACCCCTGAAACTGATTAGCAGCTTGCTTCATTTTTTGCTCCAGTGCGTGTCGTCATTCAACAGCAACCCTGCTAAGTGGATGCGGATGGGTGCGGACGGTACGATCATGTGGTAATGTGCTCCCTTTTTAAAGGCACCTTTGGTTTATATGAAATATTCATTAACTCGCTTGAGACGGCAAATGGTGCAATCGAAGTTCGAAACACTCGACACCGAATTTAAGGCCAAGATTCTTCGGGCAATGTCACAATAACTGTCTCAACAGACTTAGGCAAAAAACCACCACACAGATCGTAATCACTGCAACGTTCTCCGAGAACAGTCGCCTATGGATATAAACTGCAACTTACGGGAATAGCCACTTTTTTCTTGGTACTAGAAGAACTTAATCGTAAATTCAGTTTAAGAACCCTCGCCATTGACTACTGAATGTAAACCACTTACCAGTTAGTAGCAATTTTACATCCTTTTCGAAACGAACTTTACTTTTCGCTGAGCCGATTACCCAGCTTTCCTTGAGGTCATCAGTATAGTAAGTAAGTCTGTCCCGAGCCAACGTGGCTCATCAGGCCGGCGTTTATCTCCGGTTTCAGTAGCATGAAACGACTGAAAATATTTCTACTCCCCCTGGATGGGATGCTAGTCCATCGCAGGTTACTCCCCAGCTAATGCCGGTACCCATTTATACTCCTGGGTGGAGAGGGGCAAGTGGGGGTGAAGTGCCTTGCCCAAGGACACAATATATGACCAGCGGCTGGATTCGAACCCCGGACCCTCTGATCATGAGTCACGAACCCTAACCACTAGGCCACACACTCCCCAGGTCATCAGTATAAGCCTTGTATAAAATGTGGAAGAGATGCATTAAATGTTCTTGTTCGTTCTTCAGGGTGAGAGATAAGAACTTGTTAATAGATGCTCTCTCCATCGACCGCATCTACTACCTGGAAGATGATGAGGAACAACACAGGATTGATTACAGGGTAAGAGAACACATTTGCTTCAAAATTGATTCATCTCAATTGTTGGCTCTTTTTTCTTCAAAACTGGGTTAATCGTACAAGTCGTAAATATCTTGGAAGAAGTTTGCGGGAACACCACATGAAGTTCAGGACACTGAAAGGTATGGTTCTGAGAGCGTCCAGAGATGCTATTCGTCGTTTTGGCTTCAAGATAAGGGGACATGTCGCGTACACAACTCTGACTCGTTCATCTCATAACCACCTTCCTTGAGAGACAGTCATTTACATTGTACATCCACAAACATCTCCGAAGGTGTACTCTCCAGCATGCAAAGCCTCAGTATCTTGTTCTGGTTGCTGTTTTGACTTGAAGTATAGTCTCTAAATGGTAATGTTCTCTGTTGGTGTGATACCTTTATGTTTTGTTGTCATCAAATTCGGGCAGAACTGGTCCATCCCCCTGGGTCGGCGGTTTCGATCACTGAAACTCTGGTTCGTCATCAGGATGCACGGCGTAGAGGGTCTACAATCAGCGATACGATCGGTAGGTCTTTACCAACGTCAACATTATCTTTTCACCCGTTTACAACCATTACTCTCATTTCTCATTCATCCATAGCATACCTTTTGCTGCCTCCTTTCCTCCATTATGTTCTCTTGAACCCTATTGTGGAGAAGTTATCTCCAAGCTTCTTTCTTCGTACTGCCTTCCTGTGGGTCTCCTTACCAAGATATTGCTTTACTTTTCACATTTCAACACTATCAACTGGTTCCTCATCTCTGAACACGCTCGGGTGAGGACCATTAGTCGACAATATTGGTTGATTCATGACGTAACTTACGCCTGCGCACTAAATATCAATGTGCGGATGCCTCTGGTCAAACAGTGATCAAAACCGTGTCATCACGAGACTTCTTAGTCCTGGCTTCGCGTCGTGCATTATGATGCGTGCGGCTATTGGTAACCAGCGATGGAACCGTGGCCTAGTTTTCAGTTCCAAAAAGCCGACTATGCAGAGTAGTCCAATCATCCTTCGTTCGAGCGAAGTTAGTTAACTATAATGGTTAACGTTAGATCGCACCCGACCCGATCTTACTTCTTGTGTATAACTTGCTTCTTTTTGTTTTGTTGGTAATCCCCATCTCGAGTGGCACTTTGCCTTGTGGTTGGCGATTTGGCCTACCCCAAACTATTATTTCCTAACTTTTCGCATGTTTGCATTTTTGTTTTATTCGTGAGATGGGTATATAGCTCCCTACAGTAATCACACTTCATAGATTTCGTACGATTATTTTGGATGACAGCACGTGGCCTTGGCCAAGATGTTCGAGTCTTGGGTGCGTGCGGACGACAGGTTCGAGGTTGTCGGCACTGTGGAGTTCGGCCTCGTGTGCTTCAGGCTCAAGGTACGAAGATAACCCGGAGATCTCGATTTAGACATTAAAAAAAAATCCAAAATATCTCGAGGACTTTGATACATGCTGTAATCAAATCCAGGATCCGCGTTCATAAACTTTGAAGGAGGATATGATCAAGTAGAAAGATTGCGGGTAACACCATGTGGAAAGTAATATCTTCTTGGAAGAAGTGTTTTTCTGAAAAAGAACCGGTTGGTTGAGGGTAACTCGACGTGTCGGACAGTGTGCTCTGTCCGTTCTCAGGAGGATGAGACCACCGGTTCTTTTCAGAACCACACTTCTTTCAAGAAGAGATTACTTTCCTCATGATGTTACCCGCAATCTTTCTACTTTATCTCATCCACCATGCAAAGCTTCAAGTCATATACATGAGGATATGATTACTGGACGATTGACTGGGATTGTTTCTGGATAAAGTTGCAAATCAAACGCTGTTTCGTTTATTTGTTCCCGTAAAATCTGCTGTTTAATGTCCACAGGGGGAGAACACTTTGACAGAAGTCCTGCTGCAACAGATCAACGAGTCTGGCAAGGCCCACATGGTTCCCGCCTCTCTCAAAGAGAAATACGTCATCCGCTTCACCCCTTCCAACTGGCACTACTCCGAGGAGATCACCAAGAAAACCTGGGACATCATCACATGCTTCGCCGAGGTCGTGCTTCGCGAAAGCCGGGGAGATGGGCAGGGATTGCAGGGGCGAGAGTCGGCAGACTCCGGGGAAGTCTTGGGAAGAGAGGAGGGCGTCCTGGAGACTTCTTAACATCCATGAAAATACTGTCAAACCTGCCACTCTGGCCACCTTGATAAAGAGGCTACTTGCTCAGTCTGGCCACCATTGGTTGGACCCGACAACAGTACATGTATTATATAACCTTTCCACTGTGGCCACCTGCTCAAAGTGGCCACATTCCACCGGTCCCTTGGGTGGCCATTGTAGCCAGGTTTGACTGTACAACGGCGAATCCTGACGATCGTTGGGAGACAGTAAGAAGGATCCTTACATTCCCTCAGCCGAGGACAGGCAGCAGATTAGCACAATTATGTACATCGTATAAAATGTTCTTACCGATCATTGCATCTATTTTTGAGTAGTGTTTTTATATACGAGTTTGTCTTCCTGGCCGTGTTTAAAAATATAGTCCATCATTTGTAATTTGTACATTTTGTTCGTTTGAAGAAACAAAAGTGTTCAAAATCTAATGAAGGATACTGAACAACTAACCTGACGAAGTTTCAGCTCAGCTTCAGCTGTATATTCCGAGAAAAACAGCATTCTATGATCTCAATTTCAAATCAAAAGTTGCTGAATCATGTTTTGAATTTTGAATTGCAGCTATACGCGATGTCGCGCACTGATCCGACAAATTATAGCAACCACGCGTGCCTGTGCGTCGTGCCAATGCTTGCGCGCGCTGCGCCTAATAACAAAACGAACTACTAATTTAAATTTTCCTACGGTGCGTCTTAAGACGCACCGTTGGAAAGGCCTTCTTTCGTTGATTACTTCAAAATGATAGCTTGCCAGAAAGATTAATTTCACAGGGAGTTTAGTTCCCTTACTATCTTTCAACCAAGTATGTTTTTCAACAATAATACGCCAGTTACTTTTTCGGATGGCTGCAAATGATGGACTATAGCTTTAACACGAATATCAGTCTACCTGCAGGCTGTTAGTCTAATGGTATCGTGACAATCAAATTTGAACAGGATGTGTATTCAGTATTTCTGAGGAGTTTTTTTTTGAACAGCTCTTTAATTAAGATTCAAATTGTTTAAATCACTCTTTTTGTGTATGTCGACAATTGTAATGGCTTTATCGGTGTTGTAGTCAGCGCACAAGTACATTTCCATGAGTACGAGTTCGAGTACTTTGTCATGTGTACGAGTATGAGTACGAGTCATGAGTACGAAAACAAGGCATTTTTTTTCCTATGAGTACGAGTTCGAGTACTTTGTCATGAAGACGAGTACGAGTACGATTACTTTGTTATGAGTATGAGTACGAGTACGAGTACTTTGTTGTGAGTACGAGTACGAGTACTTTGTTATGAGTACGAGTACTTTGTCGTGAGTACGAGTACGAGTACTTTGTCATGAGTACGAGTACGGGTACGACTATTCGAGTACTATACAATACTGAATATGTTTATCACTATATTTAAAGCATAACCGGTACATTACTTTAATTATATTTTTTGGTATATTTGTTTTGCTGCTGGTACCTCTGTCATTAAAATTTATTTTATCGATTTACCTCAGCGTTTAACGGTGAATTAATATGTCCTTCTGTTATGATAATATATACAAAGCATGATGATCTACATCTACATTTATACTTTCGGGGTTTTTTCGACAATTTATAAAAATTATTATTGCCTGGTAAAATTATCATTTTAAAAATAATTTCAATCGATTGGGATGATATTATTTCTTCATATCCCAAAAATACATTCTTATGTTGACAGTCTAGTCAAATATAACACAAGGGAGAACGGACTACGATCAATTAAAACAAATGACTGGAACTTAAACTTGCAGGTTCAATTCAATTTCTTTGTTGAATTTCTTTGCCAACGTATGCGTGGTAGAGCTACAATCCCGGCCAAAACGGTTGGGACACTTCCTGAGCCTGCCACGGTCACCCACTCCCCCGGTCAATGTTGTTCTCTCCAGCTGATGGAGCACACACCGCGCAATCGGAGAGACAACTTTGAGTGGGGGCCGGGGGGTTGGGGGCCCAGCAACATTTGGCCAGGATTGTAGCTCTGCTTGTGTTCCCTTCGTGACGTTGCATAGATATTGCATGTATACATGACTCTTGATTCCCGACGTTGGCGGCGCAAATTCGGGCCTTAACCAGAAAGGGGGAAAGGTCTTCTAATAAATAAAACAAGTTTGGTTTCACCGACGTGACATCGCTGGCAACCTGAATATTTCAGTTGTTCTCGTCAAGTGGCTACCCTTGAGGAAGGCACTGTTGGAGATCTACCAACGTAAAATGGTAATAATCGACTTTGAATATGCAGCAGCAGTGACGATGTCCTTTTGGCTATACTCCTATTAATGCTTTATTACCAAAAAGTTCGCAGATTAGCCAAGTCGATATTCCTGCTCTGGCAGGGAGGCTGGCACGTGAGGGCGCACTTTATATTTAGACCTGAGAGGTATACGCCTACTTATGAAGTTCACATAAAGCCCAGGAACCGACTTGAGTCAAGTCTACCTGTACAGCAACCACTCACTTTTTTTGAGGGAAGCGTATTTTGGAATAACAGCAACTTAAATTTCCCCCCGAAAATTTACAAGGAGTTAAAAAAAACCCACAATATCATGCTATTTTACCTTCAAAAATTGTAAACCAAAAATCCGGGGGGGGGGAATTAATGTAAAAGTACAGATTTTTGTAAAATTTTTACAGTGTAAACAAACAAGAAGAGAACCTTGGTCAACGCTGCCCTTTTTGTACAGAGGTTTAGTGCACTGAGTTGCTCTTTATGCTCTTTACAATACTGTTGGTCAATGTGCTTATTCATTTGGAAAATTGGGACAGGGAACCAAAACGTGCGCTACGTGTCACAATCACATCATTCATACTTTCTGCACGTTGGCCACAGGAAACTGCTTCCTTGAATTTTCTATGAAAGGTCACACGTACAGTAATACTCAGGTCAATCTCCATCCAGCCATGCGTGGTAAATCGAAACTTCGAACTGATTCACTACCAGGAATTAGAAAGTTGGCAGAAATATGCCGCTGTCATCTGGTGTGGAACGCCACACCGAAATGATATACGCCTATCCAATAAATTAGGTATCTGAAAAGTTAATTACATGATACGCGTACAGAACTAGAGATGTACAGATCGATTAAGTTTCGCTGTCAGTCCTTTCATGGTTTTTATGTCAGTCAGTTTCAGTGTGTGTTTCAAAACACGAATTACTGTTGTAGAGTGATTCTTTTCGTCAAAGGATGTTTTTCCAAGTAAATCTTTCTTTTAAAAAAAAAAAGCAAATGGACATTAACTCCTAATAGGAGTTAATGTCCATTTGCTTTTTTTTTTATTTATATATTATTTTTTTTGAAAGTTTATAAAGTTTCCATTCCCATCCAGGTGTACTCATATAACAAACTAAACAATCAAAACTAAGATTAAATGAAAAACAAAGACATTAAGAGCCTAACCCTATGATTCGATCAGGACTTCATTTACTAGGAACAGGGAATGAGCAAGTTGCTGAATTTTGGATCATTTGGCGCTCCATTGTTGAAGTGGAAGGATTTGGCCTGGGCGTCCGTGACCCGTCTCTGCAGCTCAGTCCGATATGGTAAATTTGAGGTTGATGCTGCTCACGTAAAAAGGCCGCTGGATACGTCCGGCTCATTTCAGGTTCAGTCAACACAGAACAAGGTATACCCAGACTGAAACTAAAGAATTTCTTTCAAGTATGGAGGGCGATGAGTTCCGACGTGCTGCCGGCGAGGTGGCTAATTTTATCGTGGACTACCTGAAGGACGTCAAGGACCGTCCCGTGCTACCCTCCGTGGAGCCAGGCTACCTGCACAAACTGTTACCTGCGAACGCGCCTCAGCAACCCGAGGCGTGGCAGGACATCATGACGGACGTACAAGACAAGATCCTACCAGGGGTGAGTTGTGATTAGATAACGAGAATTAGTGTAGAGCAACAAGTAATCAGCACAGACCTGGATTAAAGAGTCCACAGTCCAGACTTTTTTCCTATCAGCTGACATTGGTGACAGGGTGACAGCCCAAAGAAAAGTTATTTCAAAATCTTATGTTTTCACGACTGTAAACAAGTTAGTCCAGATCATGTCGTTGAAAAGGCTTATTTCGGTTTCTGCATCAGCATTATACTTATAACCTGAACAGCTCTCAAGCGTCAATTTGTGTGACAAATAATTAATCGATAATGTTGATGTTTGTGTTGGTCTTGTTGCTGGTGTAACTGTACTTGTTCTTGCTTCTAATATAATGTTTGTCGTTGTTCTTTTGATGTAGTTTACATGTTTCTTGTTTGTTCTTTTTGTATAATTGTTCTTTGAATATCTTGTTGTTCCTGTTCATTATTATTGATGTTCTTGGTGTTGTTTTTTTTTGCGTGTTTTACTTTTGTTCTCGTTCTTTTGCTCTTGATTTTGTGTTGTCTGTTGTTCTTGTTCATTTATCGAGTGTTCTCGTTTTTATTTTATTTTTTTCCAAGTCTTCCTCATTTTGTTCATATTCTTGCATAGGCCAAATGGCGTCAACAAGGTCGCAAATAATCAAAAGTACTTATGATCCGAGTACCTACAATCCGCTTGAACTACTCGACCCAACATCTGTCAAACTATTCGGTTCGTGTTATAATACTTTCATTCTTGCCAATTTGACCCGGACGTAGTGCCCTTGAAAGATTGTATTCATTGAAATACCGTTTGCAGCAAAACTTCAAAACATATCAATCACCACCGAATATCACAATAAAACTGGAAACCAATAACCACGAAGTGTGTGTGTAGGGGGGGGAGATAAGCTATTGTGATCAGACAGAACCCTGGGGAAAATGCCAGCCTTCAAAAGGCCTGAAGCTGTGCACTGTTGAAACGCGACCTTGCTGTTTGTATTTATAAAATCGAATAGCTAAGAGTCATGTACTCGTGGGAGGGTTGCCAAAAGGGCATTTTGAGAGCAAGTGTTGCAAGAAAAACAGGGCCAGCAAACAAAAGGTTGCCGTAACCTTTAATGTAGGCCTACATCTGTAGGCCTACAAAAATGTCTGTGGCGCTGTGCAACAGCAATGAAGTTTTGCATGCACGGCAAATGGACAACACAGGAGCAAACGGACGCTTCCATCGTGATTTTAATCCATATATACAACCAATTAAAGAAATCGCATAAATCTGCATGTTTTGATATATCACACGTTATATGGAGACTGGCTCCGTGGATAACGGATGATACTCAGACTAGGCGTTTTGCAGGAAGGTATGAGATATTGAAGAAAAGTGTATGGTTTAGAAATGTTATCTGCGACTTCAAAAAAAGAGAAATTGGGATTTACATCCCTGCTTTCAAAAGACTTAATGCAGCCCATTGCCTTATGATCCGTCTATCATGTCTCCAGAAACTTTTCTTGACATCCAAACCTTATCACAAAACACGTCAGAGGTTTTCATAATAATGAAAATGCGTATTTATAAAGCGCATGTATCCACCCTTTAATATATACCCTGCTCATTGGAGCAATGAAACATTCCAAAGACAATCTCAGCCCCGCCCTGGGAGTACACACAGCTCGATGCTGCCATTTCGGCGCAAAGCACTTAAAATCAACCACAATAACCATCTCTGCCCTCACAGGTACCCTTTTACTCCTGGGTGGAGAGAGGCAATGAGTGACAAAGTGCCTTGCCCATGGGCACACGCACCATAACCCAAGGCTGGACTCGAACCCCAAACCTGCAGAATTACCCCCTGAATGCGAATTCAAGGCTCCGGACCATGAGGCCACGGCACTCCACATTTCATTGCAAATCCTTCAATCCATAGAAACAAGAAAAGATGGTTCCATTACCTTATTACTTGCTCCTACGTTGACAGATGACCCACTGGCAGCATCCTCATTTCCACGCCTACTTCCCCGGTGGTAACTCCTATCCATCGATGCTGGGCGAGTTCCTCGCAGCAGGTCTTGGCGCCATCAGCTTTACCTGGGTGAGAACATTAATGTTACAGACCATCTGCATTCGGCAGCCATCTTTCTCTTTGGTGGTATTATTGTTATTTTAATTAAATTACAATATGTACAAGGGGTGAAGTAATAAGGAGCTTGCACAGAGCGCCCTCTGTGTTCCTATGTGATACGCATAAGTAGGCACTTTGTACTTTCCATGGCCACCGAACGGTGAGGGCGTTCTGTGCAACTTCTTTTCAAACTTGAAAGACGGCTACAATGTGAACTTTGGTCCTGAGTATTTCCCGTGAACAGCGCCACAGCTGAGATTGAGGTGGTTGAGATGAGGGTGTGGTGGTGTTATGGTTGTTGCATGATGGTAGATGTGGTTGTAGTTGTAGTTGTAGTGGTGTTGACTGTAGTGTGCCTGATCAAAATGGTTTCTGTTATCAATGTGAGGTTTGTGGATGGTTATTCTGTAAGCACACAGAAACGTCTTCCATTTTAAATGACACACCTTGTATAATACTATTTCTTACCACTATCGGCCAATTAGGACATACAATTTTGGCGATTGCAAAAGGACATTTTAATGGGAATAACGATGATGTCATGACGTAATTCTCTGGTAACATAAGGTAGACAATATCTTGTTTATTGAAGCAATTTTAAAACTTTACTTCGATCTCAAAATTAAAGATTTTAAAACGGTAACATTCGAATAATACCATCATGTAAACTTACGTGAACAACCTATTTGGATTTGCATTTGTTTGAATCCTCAAAATGGCGTCGGTACAGCGCCCTCAAAATGGCGTCGTTAGAGCGCCCTCAAAGAAGTGTCGTTACAGCGCCCTCAATTTTGCGTCGTTACAGCGCCCTCAAAATGGCGCCGTAACAGCGCCCTCATGCGCTTAAAAATATGGCCTATTGAAACACTTTAACGGGTGCACACCTGTAAATAGGCCTAAACCCATCCGCCGAGCTCATGAATAAAAGTTATACCCTCAAAATATTCTATATTAGAGAGTTCTGAGAGCCATAACATTGGGGAATTGAAGAGATATGGCAATGAACCTCTGGCCCGGACTCGGGGCTTCCAATTCTGAGCATTTTGGATACAATTGGGCTCGAAAGTGGCGCTATTTTGCCATGTTGTGGAGGGATCGTTTTTCAAGATGGCTACCGTTCCGCTTTGGGGAAAATAGGGGTCGTCTTCTTTGGGCGTGAATTTCTCGAAAAGTCAATGGTCAACCCACCAAAAAATGAAAAGAAATTGAAAGATGACATGTCGATCATCATTTTTCTGTGCAGCTTAAATACCTGTGAGAGTTCTGAGTATTTTTAAAAGAATTTTGAAGTATGGGCATTTAGCACTAGTGCCTATAGGATTTTTTTTTGCACTGTTGCACCCTTATGGAGCGCATCTCAATCATGTGATAAGATTAGATTTTCTTTTTCTTGGCAGATCGCCTGTCCCGTCATGACGGAGTTGGAGACGGTCATGGTTGACTGGGTGGGACGCATGATGGGTCTTCCCAAGGAACTGCTACCGTACACCGAGGGGGGTAAAGGGGGAGGTGTCATCCAGGTAAAGATGGGCATACATGGTCCAATATACCTCATGAAAATGGACAAGTCTTGGTATGACGTCAAAGTGTAAACCGAAACGTCTAGGGAAAAGTCCATCAAATTTCCCCTCAGTAAGGCAATGCATAAATAGTGTACCTCATTATGCAATAGACCCCGTGGTTTTTGTTTTTGTTTGCGCAACACCCTTTGAAAATAAATCATACAACTTGGTACAACTTCTTAACAGCGCATGCACCGTCTAGCAACATGATTTACTGTTACAAGTGGGGAGGTGAATATCGCAACAATTCATGACTTGCCGAGGACCTAATATGTGCCAACTATCGGCCAAGGTAGCAAATATATTGGCAGATCGAGAAGTTTAGGGAAGACTGATCAAGCAGTTTTGCGTAGCACTGATGTCCCGCAACTGTGTTTGTTAATAGAGCTAGGGAGTAACTCTATAGGGTTTGTAATTTCTTTGATTTCGGCTACAAGGAAAATAATATAATCCTACTTTCTACTTTGTTTTGTAGGCCTCATCTAGTGAGTGTACCCTTGTGTGTATGTTTGCAGCAAGAACCAAAACCATCACTGCCTTGAAGGAGACCCACCCAGGAGAAGATGACTGCATCCTGCTGTCCAAGCTGGTGGCTTATTTCTCAGAAGAGGTACACATGCGTAGGGCTACAAAAAGTTCCTTCTTTTTCGTTTCCCTAACATTTTGGAAGGGAGCCAACTTTGAAGGGTAAAGTGAGCTAGCCAAGACTTTTTCAAGAAATGTATGACCTCACCCTTTTTACAGTGAGGGTTTGCGATATTGGAGGAGAGCATGGTTCACCCCTCCTAAAAGAGGGAGGGAAGAAGATAGCATCTAAGTAGTTGGTAGACTACCATGAACAGTTTTATCTGTAATGTCAGATGTTGCAAGCTGTATTAACTTGACTCCTTCTTTTCTCAGGCTCATTCGTCGGTGGAGAAGGCAGCGAACATTGCCTTCGTGAAGAGACGTATTTTGCCGACTGACGATAAGTTTTCGCTTCGCGGGAAGACTCTCCGTGAAGCTGTTGAGGTAATTTCAATGCCCGTTTCTGAGTATAGTCAAACGGATTATACTATAGCGTTCATTATCACACGCCCGTGCAAACCATTTTACTCAATCTTGTGAGGCACCATGGCACAGTTAAAGGAGTAACGAGATGAGTGACAAGCCAATGACTCTGTTATAGGCCTTTATAGGTTATGTGCAGAAGGTATTAAAAGCACATAGGGAAGGCAAAACATGTTAAAAAAAAATTACTCAAAGGTCCATTCGGCATGAAACTTGGTAGGTACATTGTCATAGAATATTTTGCTAGTATACGAAATACACATTTGAATTCATGCGGACTCGGTTAGATTTGAACTGCGGGTAAATCAGAAGTGTTGCTTCTTTCATTTATCTTGCAGAAGGATATCGCAAGTGGAATGGTTCCATTCTTTGTAAGTAAAAACAGAAATGTCCGGCAATATTTTCCCGAGAGTCACCTTAATGTACGACACCCAAAATAACGTAATTTACTCCCGAAATAAAGTAAAGTAAATACCACTTCTTTAATTTTGAGGTGTTTATATTCTTAGAACATGAAGCCCCTTAGAAAAATCAATCAATCAATACCCCCCCCAACAACAAATATTGGCTTGAAGATATTGATCGTTACCAATCTAGTCAGTTTAAAAAAGTCATTATCCACAGTCGCTAAAAGTCAAAAGACAGAATTTTCTTGCACGAACCACATGACCATGTTATTTTTCTTTACACTGAGAGGCTTTTTATTTCAGGTCTGTACAACTATCGGAACAACAGGCAGTGCAGCCGTGGACAACATTGAGGAGATCGGGCAAGTCTGCGCAGAGAAGGACCTATGGCTTCACGTGGACGGCGCCTACGGTGGTAACGCACTTATCTGCCCGGAGTACAGATATCTACTCAAAGGGTTCCAGGTATGAGAGACAGAACTTGCCGACTATAATGTCATAATAAGGGTAGTTTTTCTTTTATTAATACACGTCCGGTTCTGAAACTTTGACTCTCATATCTGTTTATCACAGGACTAATGGTAAGCCTTAGAACAAAGTTACTAAATGATATGGAGGGACGAGAAAAGAACGCTATACAGGGTGCGTAAAAAATAAACCGAAACCCAAATGTCGGGACTATTGTTTTGTTGAAGTTCAGCATGTAGCACTTTCAAAATCTAGGAAATAAAAGCCCAATTCATAAGCTTTCTTTTAGTACGAAAATCATTCAAATCACTTATGGACTTTTCAAGTTACGGAATTTTAAACACAACCACCGTTTTAAGGTTCTGTCAACGGATCACAACAAAAAGATGTGCGTTCTTTCAGCAAAACGAAAACAATTCACACACATCCCTATATGTGATTTGTTTTCGTTTTGCTGAAAGAACACTGAATTTTTTTTGCGATCCGTGGACAGAACCTTAAAACGGTGGTTGTGTTTAAAATTTCGTAACTTGAAAAGTAACATGTACATGAGTGATTTGAATGATTCTTGTACTAAAGGAAAGCTTATGAATTGGGCTTTATTTTCATATCCTAGATTTGAAAATGCTACATGCAGAACTTCCCTAAAACAATGGTCCCGACATTTCGGTTTCGGTTTTTTTTACTCATCCTGTAGAATCAGTATTATGCCAAAATAATTTTCTTTCATTATTTTGTTCCAGTATGTGACGTCTTTCAACTACAATCCCATTAAGTGGATGCACGTGGGTATGGACTGCTCTGTCATGTGGTAAATATCCATCCTTAAAATGGCTTTCTTTTCTTATAGTAACATGAGATTGCGTCACGAAGGCGATGCTTGCCTTATGCCTATACCCTGAAGAAAAAAATCACAGACAGTCGCCAAACATCCGCAAACAACTGCCGACCATTTGTGATTTTGATTTGTATCCATTCGCGATGGAATCTTCTCACCGAATTCAGACCAGGGCTTTTCAACAAATCTGTTTCAAATTTTAGCTTTACTGAAAATAAGCTTCTCACCATCTAATGGTCACCCTTCGATGATACAGTCCTTTGCATATCTTCGTTAAATCCTACAAAAAGGTACAATCAACAGTTTGTTAAAACATCAGGTGAATTTCACACCCAAACCTTTTTTCCCCCAAATATTCAGACCTTCAAACTAGAAACACCTGCATTTGAAATTTAGAATGCCCTTCTGTTTTTCAGGGTGAGAAACAAGTACTTGTTAGTGGAAGCACTCTCCATCAACCGCATCTACTACATGGAAGATGAACACGAGAAACACCTGCTGGACTACAGGGTAAGAGTAAAAATGATCGTGTGTATGTCTGACGCACTGCAGCAATCTTTGGGGTCCACGCTTTTGTTCAACATACCTCACTTGCGTTCACCTCAACACCTCAAAGATGGCTGACGAAAGCAAATGGTCTATACAAGGTCCCTGAAACTTGGCTAGTCAGTTGGCCAGCCGGTATTGCAGAAAGGGAACGGGAAGGAAGCTATATCCAATTTCCATTAAATGTGAGTAAGTGAATAAATGTGTGCTTGGCCGGTTCTAAACACTATGTTTAAGACCGGTTTGGACTCTGGACGCTGATAATGACCAGAGCCGAAGGCAAGGGTCATTATCAGCGTCCAGACTCCAAACCGGTCTTAAACATAGTGTTTAATAACGGCCAAGCATAGTGTTTAATACCGGCCAAGCACATATTTATTCCCATTCATAAATATCATTTCGGTCAAAAAATCAAAACTTTTCGGTCCAAAAGTTAAAATAAATCAAAAATAATAAATTTTCAACGATTTTCTTCAACAATTTTACTTCATGTTTTTCGAAACGGCCCTAGCTATGTTATGGTATGTTCTTCTCGTGAGTAGTCGTAAACAACTCCTCATATGGAGATTGGCGCGCGCGTCGCGGGTACTGCGCGTTGTGGTGCAGACTATTAACGCAGCTGTGCCAGTGTAGTGTGAATTTAGGACTATGAAATACTGACTTACTGGTAGTATTGCGCATGCCCACGTGAGGATTGTGAAGATTCAGCCAATAAAACGGTTAAAGTCACCGGATTTCATAGGAGTCAAAATTTCATGTGACATTGCAAAAGTGTTTAGGACCAGCAAGCCGGTGTATTATCAACCGTCTAAGGCCGACCACGTGACGAGCTCTCGACCTTACGAATATGAATGGGTAAACTGTCTTAGGTACTTATTTAAGAATGTTCATTTAAATAAACATTTAATCAAACTTTTTTTTAAGTCTTGCTTGAATATTCACACTTAATTGATTGTATGTCATTTCGAATTGACAGAACTGGACAATCCCATTAAGCCGGCGATTCCGATCACTGAAACTGTGGTTCGTTATCAGGACGTATGGCGTGGAAGGACTGCAGGAGTACATACGATCAGTAAGCATATCAACAGACTGTTGTCACTTGGTTCTGCCATGCGTTTTAACAGATAATTCTTGAAGTCCACTTCAAGTGTGCACGTTCTCAAGACTATCCTTTTTCCTTTTTTCTTTTGAACTTTCGGCTTGATTGTTCATTTGTTGGAAAACTTTGCTCAACTCAACATGTAACAACAATATTATTTTCAAAGGCTTTAGTTTTATTTGGAAGATGAAATTTCAAGGGAATTTATTTCAAAATATAACTATTTAAAAAGGGAAAACATGATATTTTCTTCTTTTGTTCTCGTTTTTGAGGATCACGATGCATTTTGATTTTTTTTTTATCACAGCATGTGGCCTTAGCCAAGATGTTCGAGTCCTGGGTGCGTGCGGATGATAGGTTCGAGGTTGTCGGCACTGTTGAGTTCGGCCTGGTGTGCTTCAGGCTCAAGGTACGAGGATGATCCTTTAGAAGAAGTCACATGATCCCTGGACTTTCTCGATTTTTGAATAATGAGGATTTTATTGATTCTTGCTTGGTATGATGTGGAGGTGTCTTCAGACTCCTGAATATTTTTGCTCTGTTTATCAAGTCTTGACCGTTACAACAAAACCTTGGTTGTTTTGTTGATTTGATGTCGCCTTTGTTCGGAGTACAGTGTATCTTTGAAACATGATTACTTTTTTGAACTGACTTTCCACAGGGGGAGAACAACTTGACAGAATTCCTCCTTCAACGGATCAACCAGTCTGGCAAGGCCCACATGGTTCCCACCTCCCTCAAAGGGAAATACGTCATCCGTTTCACCCCCTCCAACTGGCACTACTCAGAGGAGATCACCAAGAAAACCTGGGACATCGTCACGGGCTTCGCCGAGGTGGTGCTCCGCAAGCATCAAGAGGCGGTCCAGCGGTTCAAGTGGCTTCTGACCAAGTACAAGGACTACGCCCGGGCAAGGCGGGAGTCGTTGGGCGCCGAGGAGGTCTTTGGTAAAGAGGAGGACCAGTCGTGGACTGGGGTCCTGCGCAAGATAGGGTACCGCACCAGCTCCTCCGAGGAGCCCGAGGAGCCCGAGGAGATTGAGACGCCGCCGCGGTGCCGGTTCTCCCTCGGCGATGTCCCGGAGGATTCCCCGCTGGACGAAGTCGTCGCGGAGAACTTGCCGGTCTTTTCCGACGATCGCCCGGCGGTAGTGAGACGAAACAGTTCCTTCCAGTCGCTGAGCCTTCAGTATGATGAACCGACCACATTACCCAAACAACCCAGCGAAACACTCTTTTCGTAGATTAAACATGAAACGTGCCTGACTGGCCAACCACCTCTGTGTTGTGTTTTCACACGCAAAACCAACATTCTTAATATAGGTTTTCTCGGTCAATTTCGGCAAATGAGCAGCCAATTTAATTTTCGTGCGTTCGAATTGAAGCTATTTTGCCTCTCCAGTTGTTACTGCGTTTCAAATTCAGAATTCGGCCATTCAATTTCGTTTTGAGGCATTCAAATTCCTTTAGCACTGTGTTCAATTTAGCATATCGTCATTCTTTTTCGTGACACACAATCATCATTCAATTTAGCAAAGCCTGTTCGACTGGAGATTTTACTGATTTAATGTTTTTCAATTTCGTAAAGAGGCAATCAATTTCGCCTAAAGAGAATTCAAATAAGTACGACTAAAGAAATACGAATAAACAGATAAACTGTACTAGGCAACTGTTTCGTATCTTCACTTTAATTCAGGCAAACCTTGTTTTCTTTATTTATGCTTCCAGTAGACTTTACATTGGGCCAATGAGGTTTTTTCTTCTTCTTTGTTTTCTTCTTCATTCTTTTTTTTTGGGGGGGGGGTGGGATCTTTATTGGTTAACTGACCAAGACCTAATTTTGTATTGTGTTTGAATGGGGTGTTTCTTTATGTTTTTCCTGTTTTTTATTGTTTATGTTGTTTCTTCCTCAACCATCAATCTGTTGGCGTGCCAGACATCTTGGCATATATGTTTGGGTATGGTTGTACCACTGCATGCACTTCACTTGGGTGATGACATCAACGCTCTGGATGGCTGCTTGTTGAAGGAGATCGCACCTCCACTGCTGCATGTTCATTCCTGCTTGCTGGGCAGCCTGTCTGTCTCCGACACGTTGTTGCCACTCAGGTAACCCAAGGATGCGTTTAACTGCAGCCTTGAATGCAGAGTTTGCCATCTCCGTGCTGTTCAGGAATGGGGAGTAGGGAGGGAGGCGCTTCAGCTGGATCATTGGGTTGGCACCTTCAGGGAGTTGGGCGCGCACGTGAGGCCTCGCATTGTCGTATATGAGGTAAATGGGTTCGTCGTCTGGGAAAACTGCATCACACTCTTGAATTGTGTCCGCAAGAAACTCCTCGAATCTCTCTCGCGTCACAGTTTCGAATGCGATTCGGTGGTGCACCAAGCCTACTTCACTAGAAACAGCGAAGGTGACATTGCAATTTCTCCCTCGTTGTCTGTCGACGACTCGTCTTGCAGCGATCCCTCGTGGAGCTCTACCCTGGGAGCGTCGAGTCGAGACGTTATAACCTGTCTTGTCAATGAAGACTAGATGCGCCAGAACACCATGCTGCAGGAACCACTCACCATACTGGACGCGTTGATCAAGAACTTCAGGGGAATTTCTTGCATCAGGGACGTCCTCCACTAGTTTCAGTGTAATCATCATCCCATCCAAGGCCCTGGCTATGGTGGCAGTAGAAACCTGGGGCTTCTCTGGCAGATGCTCACTCAAACTAGCCTTCATTTGTTGAAGTGTCAAGACGGGATTAGCGTCAAGGATGCCTTGCAGATGGTTTCGCATGTCATCATCCATCTTGCTGTGGGTTGCTCCTCCTCTTGCCAGCGTCTCTCGCCTTCCAGTCCTCAAATATGTTGCAACAATTGATCTGGCTGTGGACTTGTTGATGTTCAAATTGACCGCAAGCTCAAGGTAGTCTTGCTCGTTTCCCTCGAAGGCCTCAATCAACCTTTCTCGATCTACCTGGGCCACTCTAGCGTAGCGACCACGAGCTGCCATTTCTAGAAATATGCGTGTAAAACTGTAGCGAAAGCTCGTCTTCGAAGTACATCGGCAAAGTGACTCAAGTGCCAAAAAGTGAACCGTATTTATGCCTTCAACATTCTTAAGGAAACACAAATTTAACAAAGCGTTTTTTAGATTGCACAAATTCCAGAAATGACTGCCCAAAAATGAATTTGAATGACTAAACACACGCCTCAAAAAGCTCCTGCGAATTTGAATGCTGCTTTGTTGAATTGTTAAATTGCATGATTATTTTGTTAAATCGAATGACGCAACAGTACATTTGACTGGTCATAAAACGAAATCGAATGACCCTTTTCAGTAGCATTTGATTTCGCGCGAAATAGAATAGCGTAGTGGTTAAATTGGCTGCTCATTTGCCGAAATTGACCGAGAAAACCTATATAAAGTGCTCATCAAGTAATTAGCAACACAAGGATAACATTTTAACCCCCCCCCCACACACACACACACCCACACGCCCACCCACACACGCAAAAAATACGTTACATACCAAGTGTGGACATTCCCTTGGTTTCGTGTAGTTAAGAAAAACCTCGGGAAAAAAATCATTTTACTCTCACTGTGAAAACACTTTCAATCCAATTTTTTTCTATGATTCCCTTTAGTGTTTCTCTTTATTTTGCCACCGATAAACCTAACCCCCAAATGCCTCTAAACCTGTTTTCCAGAAAGGGGAAACACTGTGTGGACTTGCACAAGTCCACACAACGTCGCTGCTACCTGGTTTATGTGAACCTCTTTTGCTCGGAAGTCCACACAGTGAATATAATGCTTGTACACAAAACAAACCCCGCAATTGTTGGAAGCGAGTGCTGAAATCTGAGGCTTCTTTGATTGAACCTAAGGTGAACAATTCAACTTCGAAAACCGAAACATCAATGTGGACCAGCGTTTAATTGTCTGGTAAACCAGGCAACAACGGACAGTGAGTTGAAATTTACGTTATAATTCTGACACCAGAATGATCTTCAACATGTTTCGTTTTGGGGCATTTCTCTTATTTAGCAAGAACGAATAATGTGTTGAAACAAAAAAATCTTGTATATATGAATTTAGTTGTTTGCGAATTTATGCTCGTGGATCTCTGGTTTTCATACAAATTAAAAAAAAAGCAGATGGGAATTTGTAGTAAAACGAAGTTTTGATAGGAAAAAACAGCCCGCTATTAAAAATACAATTTATGAATTAGAGCAGATGTTACATTTGGTTACGTTTGTCATTGATTGTTTTATGAACTAGACAATTTGAATTGTTGAAAGCATGACCAATACATTTAAAATTGACACAGGCTTTTGAATATAAAGCAGGCCATCAAATGCAGAGTATTTTGCCTTTTTACCCTGTATGAACGAGGACTACTGAGTATCCAGGTTAATTGCCTTATCCAACAAATAATCGCCAAGCGCGTTCCTTTATTCGTTCACTTTCAAGTTGAACATAGAAATTGAGTGGATTACGGTTTGAGCCTGGATTGTGACTAGCGCCCCGTGGACTAATCAAGGAACCGTAGAGCACCGGAACGGTAATCCGGAGGTCGCAGGTTCAAACCCTGCTCCAGTGAACTTCTTTGTTCAATTTCGAAAATTTGAAGAACGAAACTAGTCAGTTTGCCTTTGTGGTTTATGTTAAGATAAAATACCAGTTAAAATACCAGTTATGTTTCAGTTAAAAATACTCCGTAAAATCAATGGGGAGGGGGGGGCTCGTTCCATACTTTCAATGGAGGCGCTGTTCAAATCCGACCATTATTAACACTATTACAGATTATTATTTATATCAGGCTTCCAGCGGTAAAAATAAATCTGCATATTGTATGCTTTCATAAAAAGTTGACTGCAATAACATTGTTATTGCAGTCAATCCGGGCATTTTCGCAGGTTCCCGCTTGATCAAGAGCATAGAAAGTCACTGTTGTCAACCACTGCACTCAATAGAGCGTAGCGCGCGCGTACACCGTCGAACACGGAACACGCCGCGCGCATGCAGCGCGCAGAAGCATAGCGCAGAAGGCCAGGTATACGCGCACTGTTGTTAACAATAATATTACAGTGGAAGCTTCAAGACGTTTGATGTAAACGAAAAAGATGTAATGGACATTGTCTTGAATTGTGCTTCTTGCGGATCAAGTCAGCCTGATATAAATAATAATAATAATATTGGATGGCTTTTTTTCGGTGGATACAAGAATATATTGCACTCGCTATGACAATATTGCACTCGTCTTCGACTCGTGCAATATTGTCATAGCTCGTGCAATATATTCTTGTATCCGCCTCAAAGCCATCCAATATTATATAAATATATAGTGTTCAAATACCCCCGTTACCCAGCTGGCTCTGTCCGAATATCGCACAGGCGGACATTATTACCTGAATAATTATTTGGGGGTGTCACAGCAGGGGGGTCATATTATTTTTAATGTATTTCTATGGAACAAGAATTGAGTCAGACCTGTGGGGGGCTGATCCGCGCCTGTGGAAGCTTCTGGTAAAAATACCATAACTCCACATCCAACTCGGGGGGATTTGACTAAGTTGTCCTGCATGTCAACGTACCTGGTCATTACAACAAGGCTTTCTCTGGTCATAGTGATACTCGGCCAGTGTGGATTCGTAATTACGAATTTCATGCTACTTCGCTTCGCTCATACGCATGAAAAGCAGTTTAGTATTAATGGACCGCCTTAATAAGGAAACGGAGGCGATTGGATTTGTTTCTAATTATTTATTTGCAGCATGGGTTAATGGTGGGATCACAAACACCGAGTTTTCACTAATAGCATTACTTTTTTTTCCTTTTCTTTTTGAGATACCACTTATAATAGACATGAAAATTATCGTGTTAACGTCCAAAAAAAGAAGTTCTGGCCATGAATTTGAATTACATGTAAACATTTAACTGTTCATCTTAATTATCCATATTGGATCATCTGATCTTCCTGAACCACTCATCACCAACTTGATTCGCTGATGTTTAACAAACTCCTGGTCATCTGACCACTAATTTTTTTATTTTTTTTAATACACTTTACCGGTCACCTGACCGTTTCGGATCATCTGATCCTTACTTCGTTAATGCAGAATTTCAATGAATTTAAATCAATTACTGCCGACTCTCTAATCATCTATATATATATAAAAGAGAGTTTAACTCGGCCTCCCAGACGATGTTTGCTCATGAAAGGATCCGAGACCGCGGGCTCCCGCGGCGCCAAAATCGCTCCACGTCCGTGGAAAAATGCGGAGGGTGTCTTCCGCCGCCGGTCGGACACTTCGGGTCGTCCTGATTTTCCCGTACGGACCGGCGATCCGTTTCGTCGATTTTTCGTGATTGCGTTTTGCGCAGGCATTTGCCGTCG